CTAATACGCCATCTGGGGAGGAGACTGATTCCATGCCTTTCTCCTTCCCTCTCCACCGCTTTTCAGTTATATAGGACTGTACTACCATATTTTCCCTTTAATATTTTTCGTTTTTAATTAATACAAATATTTTTTATTTCCATGATGCCTTCTTTTAGAACTATGTTTAATGTAGTTTTCAGTTCCATATAGTTTCCCTACTTAAAATGCTTTAATCTGTATGAAAATCAGACAGAACTAACGTACTGAAACTAACGTACTTCCTCCTTCTATGACTCGCCACACGCTTATGGTGAAAGCATGCGACGTGTTGCCATAAGTAGCTCTGCTTTTCTGCTCTTCGCCACCTGTAGTGTTTCGATCGCCAATTCTCTTGGAATGTTTTAAATTTTTATTCCGAAATTTAAGTCTTGTATTGCATAAAAAAAGGGTTAGAAAAACAATATTAAAAATCAGTCCCTTTAATAGAGCCTTTATTTAAAACAAATTTAAATATTATTCGAAATTAAAATTATCGTACTTTTAAAAAATACTTCATAGAAATTTCTTTTAATCGAGTAATACTGTGAATAAAGAACGAAAATATTAATTTTTGTTCCATAAATATGCGAACATGATAAAATGTATTAATAATCATTTTGAATATGCTTAGTTTTTCCAAATTACACTTAACCTGCGAATAAACATTCAATTTGTTATTTTAGTAGTTCGCGATAGCTGTAAATTTGTATTTAAAGGTAAAAAAAATTATAATAAAATACATAAAATATTTGTATTTAAAGGTTTAAAAATATATACTTTCCTTCCATCTTCCGTTAGTTTCTAATCTGTTTTATTTTAAATATTAAGACTTAACCTTAAATTTACTCCAGTTTACTTTGCGTAGAAACATGTTTAAACCATATTCTTCGCAAGTGTTTAAATATTGCACTTTGATGTTTATTTAAATTAACATATTCCCAATTAGTAATTAAACTCGAATTTGTAAAGGGAACTTAATCTTTGTATTCGGTTATAATAAAACAAAAATTGTATAAAAATGAATATATTTTCAAACCAAGCTTGGAGTTTTAAAAGCTCTGTTTAAACTAGGCTACCCTGCATAAGTTTTGTGAAGTAATATAAGATTATGAATATTAATTTCTTCTGTTTGAATATCAAAGAAGTGTAAATGTTAAAATTTCAAGATAATTTCATTGAAGTAAATATTTACTGTTTGTTTGACTGAGTTTATTTTAATCGATCTAGTCTAACAAATCAGTTTTTTAGCACAATATTGAAAAAAAAGTATTTATTTCGTGATTGATAAACATAAATACTTGTTCAAAAGTGAAATTAAACGCTTATCAGCACTGAAAATTATTTTAAGAAACTAAGTGTTTGCACATTTAATCTATTATTAGACATAATTCTAAAAGAATTTTATTTTTAACTTGCTTTTAGGCGCGGTAAGACCAAAACAGGGCTCTTGCGCTAAAAGTTTGCATAAATCTGAAGAAAAGAGCTCAATTGGTTGAATTATTTTTAATACTTTGTAACCTTGTTCTCAAAGTTGGGTTAAAACTAATACAAGGCTTAATCTGGGAATGATTTTAGTTTTTTTCGAAATAATGCATCAGTCAGCCTTGTGATGGATAACTAGTCAAATTTTCATTTTGTAATGTAGCTGAATTAACTGTTAATAGAGCTTAAAGCCAAAACTTCTTTCCGCATAAAAGGAACTTCTTTGCTCTAAAAAATCCGGTTCAGAAAGTATGCAGAGGTTTTCCCTTCATCATAAATACACAAAGCAAAACTAGTTACGTATTAGAATCGGTTGACTCTCTTTCCTTGCTTCAGAGATAGCCTTACTTATGAAACTGAAACATCAAATCAAAACAGTTACGATGCCTCGCGCGTTGTGCGTCAGTGAGACTCAATGACCCATCTACAAGTGGTATTTGACTTACGATGTTAACTTTATATTGTAACAGCATTCGGAACTAACTGTCAACACGGACATTGGAACATGGACCTATTGTGATAAAGCTAAAATGGTCTGATTTACAATTTGCGATATTTTGTCCGAAGTTTGGTTGAGAACGCATTGTACATTAGTTTTTCGGGTATAGCTACTAATGTACTATAAGGAAAAGTTTCTTCTTAGGCTTAAATTCCCAGAAAACCACGTGGACAAATTCATTGTTTTGGCTAAATATGAATCCTTGCTCTACAAGCTAAATTTACAAGCTTGAACGAAAAATTCCGAAGTGGCTGAATCGAATGTGAGGTTCGAATTGGTAGTGGTAGACGGCCGTTCTGCTCCCTCTTCGAGCTTCACACTCGTTCGGTCATCTCGGAACTTTTTGTTATACTGTTCGTAGACTAGTGAGGGCTGGGATGGCTTAGAGTAGGACCTGAACTGCGACTTAGGTTGTAGATTCGTGACCAGAAATCTCGGAGTTCCAACTCTACCTAGCTACGAACTGTTTGCGCGAAATGGAGAAGTAGGCAAAATTTTATTTTGTGACGTACCAAAGTTAATTAAAACTCAGTCAGTTAACAATTTAAAGTAAAAACTTGAGTATTTTCCTCAAAAATATAAACGATATAAAATGTCATTTGCTCTGAATATAAATAGAAATCCGTTCTGAAGTATTGGACAAGATTTTCTTCCTCATAATACGCAAATCTTGTTACGTAATAGAACCGATTGAACCCTTTTCCATGCTTCGGAGATCTCCTTGCTTATAAGGCAAACGGTAAAAACGAAAGTTAAGAGGCTCCACCCTATTCGCGTTATATATTGCATCAAGTTTTATTAATCAAAATTTTAAAGGTCTATAAGGCCTTGATACTGAAGATTTCGACTGCGACAAAGTAGATCGTAGTTTCATGCTCTGTAGTTTTTGAAAAACCTTAGCGCGTAAAGCTGATTGCATAAGCTCTTTGTGAGGCATTCTAGGCTTTATTGTGTCGAAGTAATCTACCACATTTCATGTTAGAGAACCTATAATTAATAGTACTTGATCAGTAGTTGCAAAAATGATTACGAAATTTTAGTCTAGCCTTGGTTTCTCATGTCTACTATAAGACTACTTGGTGCCTCGATAATGTTAAATGGCGAATTTACATGCGGCTCGATATTTCCTTGTGTATCTAGTTAACACAATGGTTTTCACTTCTAAATTTAGATTGCGATTAAATGCTGCAATTCAAGTATGCTATATATTCTGAAGTTTTTTTGATTTTTTAGAGTAATTTTTTAAACGTAAATAATAAGACTTTTGAATTGAGTTTGCGATCGGAAAGATTTAACCATTTAAAACTAAAAATGAGTTAGTAATTAAAATTGTAAGAAACAGTTCGAAATTTTTAGATGTAGGAATTCAGACCGAATGAAAATTTTAAGATTAAAAGCGCACTTTCATGAATATTACGCAGAAAAATTTGTACGAAATCCATAAATTACTAATTTGAATCCTTTGCTTTCGTTTTTTTCCCCTTCAAATTCCTATTCTGAATAAATCAGTCGGGTTGTAAATTAAAAATTGTGAAAACCTGTACTTTATAGGTCTCTCTTTTTAAAATTTAAAAATCTTTTTGGATTATACATGGTAACATAATATTACACTAAACGAAATCTGATTTTTAACTAATCACTTTAGAAATGGTAAATTTTAAGCTTTGTTGCGATTTTGGAAGTAATGTAAAATTAGTTAAATACCTTGTTTTTTAATCGCAGTGTTTAAATTTCAGGGTTTTCAAAGCTTTTAATTAATATTTAAGCTCTGCGTTATGTTTTTATTTGAATTACTACATAAATTGGGTTACATACGGTACAAATATTTATTTCTTAATATACATGCATTTTTCGAAAATCTACTGAGGAAATAATAAAACATGGAAAAAGCACATTAAGGCAAAAGGAAATAGATAAATAAAAAGCATTAGATTGAAGGTTTCAAAACCACAAATATAAAAAGCACTTAAAATTTTTAACTCAAAATAGTACTCAAAATAGTACTCAAACTCAGGAAGAAAACTAATCTTTAAAATCTAAAAATAATGGTAAGCTTAATACTACAATAAAATTTTTAAAAAAATCAGTAATTTAATAACTAGTTTATAAATACTGAATATAAGTTAATTTAAATTGCACCTCCTTTAATTTTTGAAATTAAAAATAGTTTAGTTACTAGCGGAGACTGGAGATGCTAATTATCTAATCCAGGTAAGTAATCTTAAAAACGTTTTCTTCAAGCAAAGCACAGTGGACTTCATTTTTGTTGATTACTCTCAACTCGTTTTCAAGTCATCTCACAGCTTTCCCTCACCATGGCAATGAGCCATTTCCCCCACTCCCCCCCTCATCTTTAGCTTTACGCTCCTGACCTCAGTGTTCCACCTCATCGATCCTCATCTCATGATGAAGGGGTAAAGGGCCATCTCGGCCTCAGGCACCCCGACTAACCGACAAGACAAGCCCCCTTTAAGTTTTGAAATTAAAATTCAGTTTACATCCGACTGAAGAAGTATTAATAAGTTAACAGTAAATTAGTCTTGAAGCATTTAAAATTTCAAAAGCATAATAGGCCGGAATATGAATAGTTAAATATCTAGAAGCTAAAACTAGCACCACATGAAAGCTGGTATCATTCAAAGCAGTAGGCGCTGAGAATTTAGATTTTTTTTTTAGCGGACTATAAAGTACTAATGTTTGTTTTTGTATTAAATGATTAGTTTAAAAACTCCGTGTATTAAAGTTACTAGATATTGCAGTTTTAATTGCTTGTAAAATATAACCCAATGTGTTGTATTTAATTTGTATTAGAATTTATTCTGTATGTATTGACTATAGTAATGTATTAAACTTCAGATTTCAGCTGCATGTATATGTAGCACAAAATGTTAGTAACAGTATTATGAGCCTGTGTATTTAATTAGTGTAAAATATGTGCACAATATTATGTAACATAATTTTTATTTGACGTGTTATAATAAATCATTCTATTTGTCAGATTGTTAAATGATAGCTTTGAAAATTGGGCTTTATAACACTAAAAGAAATTTCTAAACTCTATAAAAGTTGATCTATCTGCATCTTAGAACAGATAAAAATATCTGGAATCCTGTTACCAAATTAGTTCTGATTTATTTTTCTAAATTGTTAATATTAGAAAAGAGGTTAATATTAGTTCTAAATCTTTAATTCACATCAATCTAACATTTTGCATCCGCTTACTTAGGTTCCCTCATAGATTTTTAGATTAAGAGCATAAACTTTTATTTTCAGATTTTTTTAAAACTTTTTCAAATTTTTTGTTACAATTGTGTTCGTATTGCTCTTATGGAAACAATGTATTTACTCTGCTTTAGTGTTATCAGCTCTAACTTAAAATAAGCGGTAAAACTTCTCTTTAATGTAATGTGTGTGTTCAATAAATTTTCAGGAATGTAAATGTAATGTGTGTGTTCAATGAATTTTCAGCAATGTAAATGTAATGTGCGTGTTCAATGAAGTTTCAGCAATGTAAATGTAATGTGTGAGTTCAATGAAGTTTCAGCAATGTAAATGTAATTTGTGTGGTTCAATGACGTTTCTGGAATGTAAATGTAATTTGTGTGGCTCAATAAATTTTTGCTTTTAAAATGATTCTTAAATCGTTCTGACTAAATGGTGCATTCAAACTAAAATTGTTAGGATAAGTCTAGGATAGATGGCCATGGTTTTTTTCAAATCTGAAAGTATTAAGAATAGAAATAAGACCTGTTTAGGCATATCTCAAATTATAATATAAACTAAACATTTTCCATAAAAATAATGCAGCATTGTGAACAAAATCTGAAAAAAAATTATTAAAAAATGTAAGTGGCTATTTCTAATGTAGAGGTAGGTTGGCCATTCAATTCATAAAATGTTATTTTACTCATCGTAGATTTTTCATTGTTAACTAAGTAAATGATAAGTTGTAAAGACTGAATATTAGAATGGAAAATAAGTAAAGAATTTAATAATCAATCTGATGTTTAGATTTAAAACCTCTACTTTAATAAAACTCTCCACATTTTTGTGAAAGTTTGTACATCTTTGTTCGGAAAGTTTGCGCATGCTTCATGGAACCACTGTATGCACCTTACGCAATTTCTCCATTAATTTTCAGTTGTGGTATTGTAATAGTCTCCAAAGCTAACACACTGATATTAATCAAATTCTTAGTCTATAGAACCCGGTAATGTGTATGTTCTATCGGATATATTATAGGTCTGAAAAATCTGAATGAGTATGCAGAGTTCGTACTGTCCTTTAAAAAATTTGAAATGTGATTTCAATTTCGTAATAAAGTTTAGGATTTTTTTTATTAACTTTCATCGTAATTACAAAACTAAACGAAAACCACAAACGAAACCAGATTTTGTAGATATATATTTATTTCGAAAGTTCTTAAAGTTCGAAAATTATTCTGAGTTCGAAAGTTATTCTTAAGTTCGGTGGTGAATACGAATTCACTAAAATGCATTTTTACTTTTATTAACACTTTGTAATTTTTTAAGAACCCTACAATCCTTGGTATGTGAAGGCGAAAAGAGGTCTCGCCTAAAGTTGAAGATTAGAAGGATCAAAACTTTTTAGAACAATATTTCTGGCAAATAACAGTGGACAAAATATTCCACTATTTCCTTCAAAATTGAGATTGCTAAAATTTTTTCGAGAATATAAGTCTGGATCGGCGAACATGTATTATTTAGACACAATGTCTAATTTATAATTCGAAAATCATTTTTAAATGCTAATGAATTTCAGAACTTTAACTGTCACTCGAGCAATGAATTATGTGCTTAAGCTAATTTTTTGACTGAAATATTATTCTAATTCCTAAAGACAGTTTTTTAATACGTACCACGCTGTAGCACACTGTTAGAATTTCCTCTCTAATATTACGGTTAAATAGTTTATTTGGTTGTTTTTCCTATTGTAAGAGATTAGAAATACGACTTCTTAGTAGACTTTTAACTTAGTAACTTAGACTGTTTGTGGTAAGAAGCCTTATGGTGCTGCCATCTATGCGTGAATGAGAGTATCATATTCTAATAGTACAGGGTCACAAATTGGGGAATGAAGGACACTGGAAAATGTGTAGAAGGGAAGGGAGGAAATATTGTGGGGTCAACGTTGAGACTCGAACCCTCCTTATGTCAGTTGGTGTCAGATTGACAGATGTATGTATCCAGCTGCAAGGAACTATGTGTTTTCATTAGGTGAGTCTCGTTAGTGGATAAAATTCTGGTTGTTTAACAGTATAAAGTAAAAGCAGTTAATAAACGGATTTTTTCACAGTTAGCAGTTTCAAGATCATCTTATTTGTGGTTGTTTGACTGTTTTCTTTGAATATGGTTAAATAATTAAATTATTATTTAACCATTTCCTCCGAAAACTTCTAGCAGTGTAACTATTTTCTAAAAGAATCTTTTAATTCCACTACATCAGAAGGGGTTAAAATATATATATTCAGGAGTTCATTTAATTATACTTTTAATTTTTTATGATAAATTTATTGTTTTTATGGTCAGTAACAGTTTTAAGGAAAAATACATTTATGGCTTTAAAATTATTAAAATTTCTGGTTTATATTAAAACATTCCAAATACTTAAATGTATTTTGAATAAAAAATAACTAAATTTTTGCCGATTAATTAATTCATTAAGAACATAAGTAGTATTTTATTTCTTTTTTTTAAATCACAAAAACGAGTCTCACTAATCATATTGGAAAGATTTAGATTTTCAACAAATTCTATTTCAATTTATCATGAATAATGAATAGCTCGAAACATTCTCATTAGTTATGATTAACGTCTAAATACTGTACCATATTTAGGGTAAAGAATAACTAAATTTTTGCCGATTAATTCATTTAGAACATACGTAGTCTTTCTTTAAATCACAAAAACTAGCCTCACTAATTAATCATGTTGGAAAGATCTAGATTTTCAACAATTCCATTTCAATTTATTATGAATAAGTGAATAATTTGAAACATTCTCATTAGTTCTAATTAATGTGTTAAGAGAATATATATTATCTGTTGACTAGAAGTCAGTTGTGTTTCATTAATGGAGAGGGAATTAACTATTCGCAGAACAACATGGGATTAGTATAGCTTTTTAATTTACTTAGAAAACGTAATGAGATAATTTATAAACAAATAGTATTTAACTCTGACTATAAACATAAAGTGTAGAATTTTGAAATAAGTGATTTGCAACTAATTGATTGGTATTAGTTTTACTAATTAATTGGTAGTAATATACTTCGATTACTACTGCTTCAGTACAAATTGATTCAGTATCGATGCGGAATTAAAAGTAAATTTTGTTCATTAATATTTAGTTATTGCTTCGTGATTGAAATTGCAACCTTTAAAATTAGCAAGCTAATTTTTGTTCATTATGAAATCAAAAGCAAATTATTATTCATTTATAAAATTTGCTCATGAAAGAATGCAAAACGATTGGCTTGTGTGTTACTTAAATTGAAAATAAATTTAAATTTTAAAAAGGATTAAAAAATAGCCTTTAAATTGAGGATTGGGTGCCATATATATTTAAATTTCTTAAAATACAATTTGAAAGTATGGACGAAAAGACTGTGTCCTAAATGTGTGTTATACTTAAAATGGTAATTGCACATAAAAAAAGTAATGTCAAAACAACCATAATATGGTCAAATTTGTCTTTGGTTCTATGAAGGCACCTCAAACCTCAGTAACTTTTTACCGAAGTGCTTAAGTAATGATTTTTTTTAAAAAATTAGCACTAAAATATGATTTGTGATAAAATTTGGTAAATGTGGTAATTTTATCTTCGAGCATAGACCATTTTTTCGGTTAAATTTACTTTTCAGTTTTGTATCTTTCATCAAATGCGTAGTAGTAGGAATTAAAATTTTAAATCCAGAATTTTTGATAAAACATTACAGAGCTGCAAAAATTACCAAACGAATAGTTTAAATACCTCATATTTTAGTTACTTTAAAGTAAGAAAGCAGAAGATTTTTGTGTGTTGAAACTGTTTAAAAAAGGTACTTCAAAGTAAGAAAGTAAGTACACAGATTTTAGAAAATGATTTCATAAATGATATATTTTCAATATATATTTAGGTTTTTCTTATATTAAAATCTATTATGTAAAAAAAATTAGTAAATTGTGAAAGTTTTGACAGTTAATTTTAACATGTTTTTCTTAAAAAAATAATAGTGTAGAATTTTCCCTTATTCTGACGTAAAGAGACAACTTCCTTTATTCATAGAAAAAAATTCATTGAAAAATTAGTGTTAGAAAAAGATATGCATTTATAGGAGAGAAACAAAAACAATTTCCATTTGACTATAAACAATTTCCATTTGAGAATAAAGAATGGCACAAAACTTTTTTCAGAGTATAATTTTTCTTTAAAAGATATGAATTTGAAGTTCGACATAAGAGCAATTATTTAAGAAATAGGTTATCGGATTTAGTTTTATTTTCAGCTGAAAAATAATCCATCGGAAGTCAAAGAAAATTATGATAAAAAAATATCGCACAATTACCCCTTTAATGCCTCTAACCCTATATCTCTCATGTATATACTTTTTTAGCGTTTTACTTACAAACAAAAATATATTTTAGTATTTTTAATTATAAAATACAGTCTAATAGTTACTAAAAAAGTCTGTTAGATTATCGAAATTAGATTTGTACAAAATATAAAATCCTAAAAAAAGAGCAGGTTGAATTTTTTTTCCATTCATATTCAGAAATTTATCCATAATTGATTTTTAAAATTAAAGAATTTCATCGATGAATAACTGTTTCTCTTAGATCTGAATAATTGCAAATAAGTGCAAATTAGAAAAATTATTGCTCGGAAATGAGGCCGTGTTTTGAAGATTCTACTCTTGACTCAGAAAAAGGCACTAGTTTAATCTGTATTTTAAAACCATAAATTATAAAAATGCTAATTATAAAATTTTGCACTTATTTTGACCTAAATTAATACAAAATAATAAAAAGAGATTGAAAAATATGTTCAATAAAAATTATGATTCAAAGAGTTATAGTTTTCGAGAGAACATAAAGAAAAGAACAACTCATATTGAGTATATTCACTGATACTAAATAATAAAATAAAATTTTCTCAGAATCAAACTTATTGTATAAATAAAAGTCTTTGTTCGTAAGTACTGCCTGCATGAAGACCTGCCAAAAACATTTCCTCGCCAGCTTTTAAAAGTTCGCCAAATATGGCTTCGATTTCTCCATCTCATCTTTCTTGTGCCCCATAAAAGCGCAAACGTTATAACGTCCCGTTCACTGTTCAGAATCGACTTAGATTTCATTTCAGAATATCTCTTCAACTACGCTGAGTTTATTTCTCTAAACTTTGTAGAAAAGTAGCTTTGTCATACTAAACTTTGTTTTTTTCCGTGATCTACTTTGGAAAGTTCAGGTAGGAAAAAACATTTAAGTTAAAGTTTACTTAACTGATTTTTCTCTTTGTTTTAAAAGGAAAGAAACAAAACTTATCGACTTTTTCAAATTGTTCTTCCATGTTCGTGTGTGCTTTTTGAAGTTTGTTTTGAGTTCTCTTTTTAACAAAAACAGCAACTTTGAAATACTTTCTTGTGCTTCACCTTCATAAACAATTTAAGAACATTTAACTTTTTGTATTTTGCGAAACTCTTGTTTAATATAAATAGTAGAATGTTTAATTTAATAACTATGGCAAGGAATGCTGAGAATGCTAAAATAAGTGTAAAATAACAATACTAACGCATAAATTAAAAAAATATTATATTTTATGAGTTTTTGTTATTGATAGAAATAAAAATGGAAATTAGTTGATTGTGAGTTGAGTTTACTTAATACATTAAATAATTAAGTTACCTGAAAATATTTCGCTATTGCCTATTTTCAGACCTTTCCTAATAATTTTATCAACATTCGTTTTAAAAATTTAAATACATCAACTGAACTATAAGAATATGATTATAAAGGACATAATTAAATATAGCAACTAATTCTATATCTCATCTTCCTTTTACCTAATGAGATATTTTGAATAATAGTTAATTTGTATCAAATTAGTCAAAAAGCTTATTTTTTGTTTAAAAAGATAAGGTGAAAATTTGTATGTAATTTTATTTCATTTTCAATTTTTCAATTGAGGAAATGTTTAAGTTTCCGATTACAGATGAATGCAAATGTAACTTTTATTCACAGATTAAAAAAAAAATGAACTAATTTACAGAAATCTGGGTATAAATATATTATTTTAATTTCAAGACAATAAAAACAAGCAGAAATATGAAATAAAAAGAAAGAATAAATTTACAGATAAAAATTATATCTTTTTCTCTTTCTTTAAGTTATTCAAATATTTATTTTATATTAATCTATATAGGTACAAATATTCTTTAAAACAAATTACTATTTTCATACTAGGGCTGTACCTAAAATGGAATAATAATTACATTTGTAATGAAACATTAGTTTAGTAGAGTTTCGCTTATTTTGGATACATTTGTTTTGCAGCATTATGCCATAGTCTAATGCAAAACATAAAATAAAAACAATAAATTATTCAACTTACAACTTGCTTTTTTGAGTTTATTTTACTGGTTCATCCCATGAAAATACAAATTAGTATGATTGTTTTTCTTTTTGAATACATTATTTTTCGAGGGAGAGAAAGTATCTGAAATGGAATTAAAACAATGGCGACAAATAAAAGGTTAACCGATTTCATGAAATTTCAGTTTTGTGAAAATACGTCAAATTTTTTGAGTGCTCAAGTTTTATAATGTTCAAGTTTAAAGTATTTCCTTTTAATAATGTTTTCTGCACTTTTATAATAACGCCGAAAGTCTTTGTAAAATGTTTAAATCTTATTGTAATCTTGAAGGAAATGTCAAACGAAAATAAATAAATTGAAATCCATTACAATGACCAATATTTTAATATAATAAAAAAGAGTAATAATAAACTAAAGCAAAGTAATGTGTAATCTACACAATATTGTGATCTATCATGGATGATGTATTTTATAGTTCGAATTCTTTTTACTTACGAAAATTTCTTCATTATTGTATTTTTTTTCACAATTAGAAGTGAATTATCTTAGTCAAAAAATATTACGTTTGATTATATCACATAAAATAATTTTAAATAATGCAGTGTAAAAGTGACTTCATATTGATTTTAATATGAACCATAATACAGATGTAGAGCTAACTGAATTATTAAAAAATAGATTAAAATATAAATGTGATGATTTTAAGATGATTCAGAATTACTATTTAATAATTCATAGAAAAATAAATAGTAACACTAAAGTTTCTGTAAGTCATAATTAAAATTTGAAGATTTCAAGGTATTTATTAAGAATCATAATCTAATTATTCTGTTATGATCTATAAGTTCTGTTTAATCATAAATCGAAGTTAAAGTGATAATAAATTGAATTGAAAATTAAAATTAAAACTTAAAAATAAACTGAAAATCAAACGTAAATTTTTTATGTAATTTCATTTAATGATTAAAACTAATTTACTATTCTAAAATATTTTATTAAATAATTTTAACTTCATGATTAAATATAAATGACATAAAGTCATTTATTTACAAAATAAAATTCTTTATATTTTAAATGCCTAACGTGTTTCGATATTTCACTTAACCCTTAACCTTTTAAAATATTATTTTTTATGATATAAACTACAAAACAATATACTTTTATCTATGTAATTGAAAAAATCCTATTTAAATTAAGCAGTCCGATTTCGGAAAATTGTCAACAATCTTCCAGATTAATTGAATAGATTACTTCGCTTTCCCACATTTTGTCGAAACCATCTAAAAGTAACTGATCGCGGCGCATGTAAATGTGTCTTCTCCACATTAGCCGTAGATAGGCGAAGAAGAAAATATCACCTAAGTTTCAGACGAGTTTCATTTTCATCAGGAATTTCTATTTAAATTCTTTCTCTTCTTTTGTTTAGGTAACTGCATTTGCTTTTACAACTTGATTAGTTCATCGAATTTGTTGATGAAAATTTTAGCTAGATTCGATTTTTCGATAAATAATTACAAAAATTCAGGGGGTACAGTGTGAAAATGTAGAATTGTTACATTTTTATTTTTTCTGGTGATTTAATTTTTGTTGATATATTTTGAATAATAAACCATTGATCATAATAGTTTATTTTTAAAAATAACTATATTAATATTTTAATTTTAAAACCGTGAATTTTGATGGGAAATATAATGTATGGTAAATGTAATGTAATAATGGGAAATATAAATGGGCATTGTAAGAAATTTTGGATCAAATTCGGTAAAGAGTATCGGCATTTAGAATGCATCATCCGTAAAATATTATACCGTAATTTTTACTGCAATATTTATTTAATTAGAGTGATTAATTGATTTTACTGTAATTATTACTCTAAAAATTACGGTATATCTGATTTTTTTTTGTTCCGTAACACGTTCAGGGAAAAACGGATTTTTGGGTAAAATGCACCGGTATTTTTTAAGGTAATTTGATCTAGAATTTTTCACATTGTAGGAGACTTGTAAGTTTTGAATGGATATTACTTATAAGATTCTACTGTTTAAATATTTAGATCATATCTGTTCAAAACTGATTTTTCTTTAATAAGATAATACTACTTCAGAATTTTACACCAGATTACAAGAAATATTCATTGTATTTATTTCATTTAATTCTGGTGAATAATTTTTGAGAAATATTATAGGTTTTATAACTTTTTTTAATGAAAAACAATTACAGTGAAAATACAAAGCACAATTTTGTTTTTCCTAGTTACATCTTTAATTTATTCATTGAATAAATTTGCTGGACTTAGAACACAGAAAACGATAGATTTGTTTGGAAAATCTTTGTTAGAAATGAAAAGAGGTAAAAATAAATGGGTCATTCTCACGAAAACTGTCATTTTTCAGTTCATAAAATCCCAAAAAAGTAAAGTGAATCAAAAGCTCTGAAACTTTTTATATTAATAGAAATATGTAATGGCATTATAAAGAAAGTATATATCCTATAAATTATACTTAATATTTAAATAAATTTATTAATTTTACTGTTTAAAAAGTGAGGAAATGACACTAATAGTGAGGGAATGATATTTTATTTTAATACATGCTTTTCTCTAAGTTACAGCTACCTCAAGTTTGAGAATGATAACATACTAAGTATGTCTAACATTTATTATAATTTAGTTTTATATACTTAATAGTTTTTAAAGAAATAAAATTGGCTGGCACGATTGAACAAAAGAAAATTTAAGAATATACTCATCTTAAATCATTCCCTCACTTTAGCATAATTCCCTCACTTTATACTCTAGTGAGGGAATGACAAATGTAATAAAATTTAAAAATAAGTTAGGCCTAATTAATTTCTTTTACGTTTCAAATAGTGGGACAAAGTTTAAAATAGTGCTGTGTTAATATTTTTGTCAGACATTAAATTTAAAATTGATTTTCTGAATTCTATATTTCAATATTTTGAAATAAAAAACACGAATTTCGAATGGAATTAACACGTATTTGCATTACATGGAGAGGAAAACTGCGAAAACCTACTATGGTTAACCAGAAAACAAGGGAATTCTAACCCATAATCCATCTACCATGGTATTTTACTTCAGCATATGTACCGGGTGATTCGGGAGCTGAATTTAAATTAACCAGCCATAGCTAGGGTTCAAACCTGGAACTCGTTCATTTCCCTGAGATATCTTGGCTCGTATACATGAATTGATCTTTTCCTGCAATCAACTCGTATTTCCCTTCTATTTCATTCTATTATGTTCTATATTTTCATTTCATTATAATCTATGTTTTCATTTATTTTTTCGATTTATTCTATCACCTAATATTTTTTCATAAATATAAACGACTTCCATCTTTTATTCAATCAATTTTTGAATTTGGTTTTTATCTTAACTCAAGAAAATAATTACTAAACCACAAAATCAATAAAAAAATTTGGTCCGCCTTATATGCATTTAATCAATAACTTAACGACGCTATCACTCAAAAAAAGGAGGTTGTTTTTTTTTTGAAAAAAAAAAAGAATATCGCAAAATGAAAATGATCAATACAAAAATGAAAATTTTATTCAACAAAAACATTTATTCCTCATTTCATTTCTATACGAAATCTGACACAAACTATAAATGGAATTTCGGAGGAACCGTTAAAGATTTTTTTCTTGAAGAATCAACACTAAGTGAGAAACGATTTCGTAATTAAGATTTGCATACTAGATTATTTATATTCACGTAAATAATCTTTTTCTGCAAAGGTTTTTTTCGTAAATACAAAACTAAAGCAACCTTTCTGTAAGCTAGTCATACAAAACTTTTGAGATAAATTTCTCAACAAAATTTACTTCTCAAGCATTGGGTAGAGGATCTACCT